AAAGTTACTTTTTTCTTTGTTTATTGCAATGAAATTATTGTGGGAATGGTTATAAAAAAAGGTATTAATATAATTAGAAATATTTCAAATAATGAACTAATTACCTTTTTTTCACTAAGACATATATGAAATAAACATTCTACGCTAACAATGATTGTAGACAATACTTCAGTTCTGAAGACATTAAGGTGTTGCTGTAGCCAGGAAAAAACACGCAGAAAGAGAAGTAGTTGCATTTTTTACCTTTTGCATTTTCCGACTGTAGAATTTATTTAGATTTTTATTTAGAATTTAGCACTCGTGCTCAATCTCCAGTGGGTTTAGACCCAGTGACGCGGTTGAGAGAGAAGTGCAGGGATCTCCAGGAGTCATGTTTTTCCTCCACAGTTGGCAGGACAAGTCTGGTTTGGACTTCTCTCGCCAGATTGTAAATATTGTATATAGGTGTGGATGTGTTCTTTTTATTTATTTATTTTTAGGTTATTTTATTCTTATTTATTGTATATATATATTATTTTTCTATATAATTTATTTTATTTATTGTACATTATTATTTTTATTTTATGCAATTTGCACCTGCGCATCTGCGCATCTAGCAAATTTTTTGTTTTTATTTTCTTGGTGTAATTGCTTGATTTTTTTTTTATGTTGATGTTTTTATTGATGTAGTAGGTCTCTTGGCCATTTTCTTCTTAATCTTCGTTGCTCAGGTAACAGGGAGCCAGGAGATAGAAAGAACCAGAGGATTGGAGTGATTTTGGGTTGAAGAATGAAATGTAGTGTATTTGTCGTGGATGTAGGATTTTACTGTTGGGGTGTTGAAGTCGTTATGTATAGTAGTGTTTGAAATGTACCAAGGTGCGTTGACAATTTTTCGTAAAATTTTTGATTGTGCTGTTTGTCTTTTGTTTATGTGTGTTTCTTTTGCTGAACCCCAAAGTTCTGCTCCATATGTCCATATTGGTCTCAGTAAGCTGTTGTGGATAAGTCGCTTGTTTCGTAAGTTAAGTGAAGATCTGTAGTCCAGAAGATGTGAAAGTTGGCTATATCGTCTAGTAAGTTCTTGTCTTTTTAATTTCGTATGTATGTTCCAAGTAAGTCCTTTGTAATTTTATTGTACATATAGTGTGAATGTGATCTCAGAACACTATTATAAATGTCCTTGAGACAGATTGTAATATTTTTCAATAAATAAAAAAAAAAATAAAGAAATTTATAAATCCTTAAAAATCATAACAATGAGCACAGTAAGTCTCTGGGAGGGAGAGCGGGGCTTTCGTGCTAAACTCTCTCCTCCCCCCAAGATGGCAAAATATAATTTTGTCTCATGAAAAAAATATTACATACTGGAATCACTTGTGATAATGAGTTCTGTTGATTTTAGAAATAGAAATAGAAAAATAACTTTATTCTGGGACACAGTCCCTTGAGAATAACCAAATAGAACAAAATTAATATATTACATCTGGCCAAAATAAAATCCATCGAAAAAAGAAATAATGTTAAAAAAAATATAAGGTAAAAATTCTATATACAAAACAAACTAAACTATATACAAAACCATTAATACTATGACAAGACACTTAAAGCTGTTTGCTCTTATAGACCAGTATACACTTTTACGAAAAAAATATAGAATTAAAAAATAAAAATGTATCAAATTCTCTATCAAAATCAGCTCGAATGGTTAGCAACTATCTGACTGTTTTTGGAATAGGAATTGGAATAGAAGGGTTTTGAATGTGAATATGGATGGGGAACGTAGAATTTTGATAGGGAGGGAATTCCAGAAATTGACAGAGCGAACAATAAAGGAATTTTGGAATGAGGCAGATCTGTGAGAAGGCATGTAAAGGTTAGAAGGTCGAGATCTTGTGGACAGGGAATGAACTGAGGATTTGAACTGGAGAAGGTTGTAGGCGTAAGAAGGACGATGGTTGTTGATGATTTGGTAGAGGAACGTACCTAGGAAATATTGTCTTCGGAAGGAGGGAAAAAGCCACTTTAACTCAGCGTAGTGGTGAGAAACATGGGAGTATCTTGGGGCCCCGATCACAAATCTTACGCAGCTGTTCATTAGTCTTTTCAGTCTATCACGGAGCTCCACAGAGAGGCCATCATACACCACACAGCTATAGTCAAAGTGGGGGAAAATGAAAGAGGAAACTAGGAGTCTACGCGTATGTTGAGGTAGGAGATGGCGGAAGCGATGGAATAGTTTGAGGGTGGAAATTGTCCGTCGAGTGATATGAGAAATATGGTGATTCCAAAAGAGGTTTTGATCAATGAAAAATCCGAAATTTTTAACAGAGGAGTAGAAGGAGATTGGCTGATCATTAAGGTGAAGGATGGGAAAGTCTGTATAGGATCTAAGAAGGGGCTTGGAACCAATGACAATGGCCTGGGTTTTGGCAGGATTTAACCGTAATCCATTTACATTTGCCCAGGCACTGATTCGATCTAGGTCTTCTTGGATCTTGGCAAATGCCCCCATTAACTCAGGAGGGAAAAATGATAGGTACATCTGTGAATCGTCTGCATAAAGGTGATGGGAACAATGGAGAATTGATTTAGGTAAGTCGTTAATGTAGGAGCTGAAAAGGAGAGGAGATATGCGTGAACCCGGGGCAACTCCAGAGGATAAAGAAAGGAAAGCAGGTAGTGGTTGGTTATTTTGGTGGTTGGTTGGTTTACTATCATTAGTATTGTGAATTAAGAAACATGAACATAAATTTTAAAATGTTGATTATCCTTTTATCTGTTAGCAAGAAAACTGTTTATAATGGTGTCAACATGAGCATAATTCGTGACATATTGTTGGAACTACAAACCCTGCCTCCAGCCAGGTAATGAATGCTTCCAGCTCAAAGTTGGCTTCCTTTGTAGCAGGTAAGCCAACGGTTCCAAGCGCTACCTACAAGTTCATGAAGTAACTAGGTAACTTTTTTGGGGCTTAAGAATAAGCTAGAATTCAATTTTCGAATTTATAATAACAATTATTATACTTTTTAATATCTGATTTACATTAATTCTACTAAACTCTGGATTCTAAAGTCTCCCGAAATACAATTTAGTCATAATATGTTGTTGTTAATGTTTTTTTCTGAACATTTAAAGTTCAACCCCCGTAAGATCCAGTGCCATCATTTTTTGGATATATATAGGCAGGCTACCAAAACCTTGGGCGGGGTAGAATGGAGCACCCAACAGCTCTTAAGTGCATTCGTTTAAGGACTCAAGTTAGATGTAAGTTTTAGTATGTAAGCACGAAGCACTGCTGTTAGGGGGCACTTAGTCTACCCTTTTGCGATTGTTTTTTTTTTTTATTATTTTTTGTATTTTACTTTTTTTATATATATATTTTTAAAGGAACTATTTTAAATCCAATACATTCACTAAGTATTTAACATAGACCAATATCTTTCTACATTCAAACATATCTAACTTCATTAAAATAATATGAAAATTTAAATGACCTGATAAAGACACAGCCTACGTAGAAACGTTGGGAATTAAAATAAACGCTGCTGTAATATACAAGGTTTCTCAGTTCTTGAAGTCTGGGGTAGAGGGAGTGATTCTAAATATAATTTCCAACAAAAAAGTTCATTAGTTGTTGTTGAATAACTATAAACAAGATAATTATCTGGAACAATTTATGAGCAATTCCTTCGTATTCAATAAAAAATGTGACCACCTTAAGAAAAACACAAAATTGGTCTTAATTCCTTATCCATTCGCGATCGGCCCATGCTTCAAACCAACTTTTTTGTTGGAAATTATGTATAGATTCACCAGCACTAATCCCAATACCGAAATAATAATGAAATTTGGATGGAAGAAGAAACACACACAAAAAAAAAAATTGTTCTGTCTGGAATAAGTCTAGAGATGCCAAATTTTGGAGAGGAAGGAGGTAAATATATATCATATATCTCTGTAACTCCATAATATATACATACATTAGACATGGGAACTACACAGTCGTGTTTATAGTTATTAATCAACAAAATGCACCCAAACGCCTCGTCGATGACTTCTGATGCAATGCAATAGGCTATTTTTTTATTGAATACACTACTAAAAATTTTGTTTGGTGGTTTAGAATCTATAGGAATAGAATTCCAGAACCTTTTATTTTTAATATTAATAATTTATGCGCATCTTTTACAAATTAATCTTGTCAGTTTTAAGATTTGTCTCGCGGAATGATTCCTAAAAGAACAGGGAGCTTCTTCGAGGAACTTGGTGTTGATGCCGGGAGATCTTGCAGTGTTGGCCTAGGATATTATTCTGGGCTCCCTTGGGATCATTCATCATCACATATATGGTAATCAGGGGTTGATTATCATTATTTATTTATTTATTCAATTTTAAATTATTTAAGTGACCATATCTTTTTGTCTATATTCATAGGACTATGTTACTTGCTGTGTGTGCGTAATACTTTTTTTTTTTTTTTTTAGCCCTATAAATTTTAGAAATTATCTTTTATCGGTTTCACCGAAATATGTATATATAATATATTGTATAATTGTAGTTGTATGTGCTAGTATATTATAGTATTGATATTGTTTGTGCTGTGTAATATGAAAAGGAATTTGTATATAATTTGTATGTCCAAAAAAAAATAGGATTGATGAGTATGCTGTGTATCGAGCAACCCTATATAGTAGAGCAGCACTGCTTTAAATAAAGTATTTATCTCTCTCTCTCCGAACTGTCCTTGCTATCGAAAGGGCTTAAAGAATTAATTCGAGGGTTTCGAAATTTAATCACAATATTAAAATATTTGTTGAGTCATGTATGTAATGGTCCACACTCCAGTAAATGTCAACACCCTCCATCTTTATTCTAACCGAACGATACCGAGCCTACATGCAGCGTTCCTTTCACCCAAACCACTCCCAAATTTCGTGACTCCAATAATGATGGATGTAAGTGCTTTAATTTTAAAAGCTTGAATAAAACACGAGATAAGAATTACTTTTACTTTTTCCTCACAAGAAAGTAAGATGAAGCTGAGGGTAGTTCCCCCAGCATCCTATAATTATTTCCTTTCGAACTCTCACCCGGTTCGCAGGGGCCTCATTAAGGTAACGCCCTGGCAGATGGTATCTGCAATCGTCATTGCCGTCACGAACTGCTTTGCTTAACAAATCGATGTAGAACATCGATTGAGGGTAGGCTGAGTGTTTGCGGAAGTGGTAAACAAAGGTAAGCATCCAATTGATTTAACTGATTCGCTTTAAGAAATGTTAAATATTGGAACTGGATAAAAATTATAGAAAAAAATATCTTAAAGCAGATTTTTAACACTATATAAAATGGATTATAAATCTATGTGTCTTAACGTAAAAACGAAAAATTTCAATTATTTAAAAAATACAATTTAATAATTTTCATAAATATATTATTATTATTATTTGTACATTTATTCTTTTCCGAATTCAGAAGAAATATCTACTTCCGGATCCGGCTCTCAGAAGTAGAGTGACAGACGTCGATGAAGGAAGTACCCAAACGAAGTTTTAAAGTTCCCTTTTTCCGACAATAGAATTTATAAATGCTTAAAAATCATAACACTAGATGCTGTTGATTTTAACATCATTAACATGAAACGAGACACGACACATAAGCATGAATTTTAAAATGCTAATAATCCTTTCAGCTGATTGAAGAATCGTAGACAACGCGCAAGAAACTGGATCTGTTAATAATAAGAGGAAACGTGCTGTTAATAATAATTTCAACATAAACATAGTTTGGTGCCAATTATTGGACCTACAACACAAACCCTGCCTCCATCTAGGTCATAGCCGCAGAATTTCCAGTTTGATTGGGGGCGGGGTTATGGATAAAAAAAAAAAAAAAATGGTGCTAGGTAATATTATGTGTACGAATTCAACATAATTATTATGAAACTAGCAAATTTATATGTATATATATATATATATATATATATATATATATATATATATATATATATATATATATATATGTGTGTGTGTGTGTGTGTGTGTGAGCTTAGACAGTTATAATCAAAAGTCGAAATAATAATCAAAAGTATTTGATTATTATTTTGTTTCTATTTTTTTTTTTTTTTTGTATATATAGTGTGAATGTCATGCTACCTCATTATCACCAATGTCCAAGAGACAGATTGTTATAATACTCAATAGAGAAATAAAAAAAAAAAAAAAGACAGTTATATTTTTTTTTTATATGCTTTTGGATATAGAATAGAAAAAGAAACTTTATTCTGGGACACAGTCCCCTGAGGATAATAATAATGAATAAAAGAAACTTGAAAATATCTGAACAAAACAATTGGATATATTACAATTTGTATAGATTAAACATGAGAGGAAGGGGTACAACCTCCATATCATAGGTAAATTTCTAGAACTTTTTCAGCTAAAAATGAATAATGTTAAAAACTGAAAAATACTTTTGATTTCTTAGTTTGTAAAACCTCTATATAAAAATAAAACGTTTTCACAGTCTGTCTATGTAAAAATCTCTATAAAATATATTTATACTTGTACTTATTTTCACCATTTTATTGCAGAAAATTTATAAGAAAATCACGTGAAAATTCTGTTGTCCACATGAAAGTTGAACGAATCATAAAATCCAAGTTCCTGTATTATTATTAATTAATATTAATGAAAATTTAAATAATATGAATCTTTAGGTCTTGATAAAGTAGTTACTTACCTACTTATTCAGCTAGTCGACTTGTCTTAATCGATTTTAGTTTATATATTTTATAATGTTTTTTATTTCAAGTTATTAGGGGGTGAATCGATATTCGCTCCTCCCTCCCCAACATTTTTATTGGGGGCGGTCGTCCTCCCTTCCTCCTTCCTCTCCCCCCCTTCCGAAGTATGCGCCTATGATCTAGGTAATGCTTATAGCTCTAAGTTGGCTTCCGTTTCAGTTGGTAAGACAGTACAGTCAAGAATAGTGATTAGATGTGACAGAGTATCCCGTCACAGCTCCGACAGTGGCAGCTCCGGAAAAATCATTGTGACAAATCACAGTGATTTGTCAATACAGTGATTTTTTTCCGGTGATAAATGTTTACTTATGGCTCCTGTGCGAAAGCGTCACTGTGAAATCACAGTTTACGTGTTTAAACCTATATTAAAAAAAAAATATATTTTTTTTATCAGTGATAAATTTTATATTTGATTGGAGAAAATATATCTGGACCTCTTGGTTTCTGTAATTTGTGCCTGCAGAGAATATTTGAATTTATTTATAATTCAACAGTTAAATGAAAAACTTTCCGTTAATTGTTTCAGACGTAACTCATTCAGAAATATATGCCATTGAATGTTCAATTCATCCGAAGTTCAAAAAGTATTTTTAATAAAATTTGACCAATAAATATTATTTTATAAATAGATATTTCTTTAATTTAATTATTAAATAAATGGTGCTAACAATGCCCAGATTGCTGGAGCGATAGCAGTGATCAGATAATTTCACAGCGCCAACAGTGATCGTCACTGTTTGAGCACAGTGATCTTCACTGTTGGCGTACAGTGATTTCACAGTGACTGTCACTGTGATTTCGGTGCGCCTGTCACTGTGACAAAATCACAGCTCCGCCCATATGGCCCCATGACTAATCAAGAGCTCAAAGCGCTACCTATCAATGCAACAAAGTAACTAAGTTAATATATATCCAATTTCAGTTTACAATTTAAAAAATATTCTACTTGTTTACTATCTGATATATCTAAATTCTATTTATTCTATTTATCTAAATGCTATCTCTGGCAGTATAATTCAGCTATAGCTAATTATAATTAATGTATATTATGAACATTTGAAATTTAACTCTCGTAAAATCCATTTACAACATTTTTTGAAAATATATAGGCAGACTACTCCTAGTCAAAATGGGGTAGAATGCAGCACCCAACAGCCTGGTATTAATCTTAGACCTCATAAACCTATGCTTTCGTTTTAAGCCCTGCAATTAGTTATAAGTTTTTAGTATGTAAGCACGAAGCATTGCTGTTAGGGGGCGCATTTGTCTACCCTTTTGCTTATTATTTTTGTTGAAAATGATCATTTTTAATTTACTACATTAATTATGTCTTCGGCATAGACCTTATCTTAACACATATGGTGCGCGCAACACACAACTTTTACTTACCGATCTACTTTGAATAGAAATTACTTTCTGGCAATGGCAACCATAAAAGTTCTTAAATGCATTTTTAACGAAGCTACAGATTACAGCTAACAAATCATCAAGACCATTAAAATAACAAAAACCCTTTTTATTACATCAACGGTAGGCAATAAATACGTCGTTAATCCATTTGTTTTTGTAAACTATAAAACACCAGTCTCTGAGTTGTAGATGTATGCCTAGAGAAATTTTAAAGTATATCTGTAGATTCAACCTATAAATGATTATGAATTGTACCCCTATTAGTTATTAAGCTGTTATTTTCCATTTCAAAGTTTACTAAAAGAAATTAGGAGATGTTCATTGCCTACCATAGATATGTCAAAACTTGCCACATTAATTTTAAGTGGATAATTCATCAAATTATTCACTAATTTAATGTTCTAAAGTTAATAGACGATTTTGCGGAAAAAACAGACGTTCATATCTAATTATTTAAATATAATATCAGGTCTAGAATTATTAAACTACAGTAAATGTATTTTACGTTATAAAATTTGAGTTCTACCAATAGGTAGTTTCTCTTCATGTTGTACATGTCATGTTACCAATGTCACATTTACTTATTGTATTTTTCTTGTAATACAGTTGTAAATTTCAATAAAATAAAAAAAAAAAAAAAAGATTATAAACATATGCTTTATGCATCCATGAAATATTTTTATATTTCACTTCTTCTTTCACACAGGTACAATGAAACAGTTTTTTAAACAGTGTTATTGCCTTGATTAGGTGAATTTTAAATACTTATTCAAACTTAAAATTTACACTTAATTAGTAAATTTCATTTAATTTTCTTGAAAACATGTGATTTTCATTAAATAATATTACTTTTCAGAAATCATTATTTATAATTTTTCGTCCTTCACCATTGCCTTCTACGACTTTCTATATAAGATACTCTTTTTTTCTTAAATGCTTCACTTTCCAACAATATATTATATTTATCTCTCCTGATTGGTATTTCCGGAGATTCGTTTTCGACCTAAATAAATATTTTTCTTTTTTTCTACATTTTCCAATTATCAAATTCTTTCAAAAGTTACATGTAGCATTTTTGTCGTAACTCCTAAAAATGAGAGATAGTTAATTATTTAAAAGGTGCCAAATTAAAGGTACTTTAGTGGAATACATGTTGAACATTGGACATTTAAGCTCTGTAAAGGGACATCAATGGGGATAAGATCTAAACGATATTAAAGACCACTTAGTTATACAATGATACACCGAGTTTAATCAAAATCGTTAGAGCCGTTTCTGAGAAAATTGTAAAAATGTTTATGATCCTTGTAATAAAGTGGCTCTTCCGGTTAGCTGATTTTAAGGAGAAAGTTGCTGTAACATCCTTGGCTTATACTTATCTTAAATACGTAATAAACATGTATTTCGTACTACTTTTAGTTTTTGAGCTAGACTGTTCCCATACACACAGACATGGGACCATTTTATGGGACGTTATTTGGACTCAGAGGACCTCAAAACGTGTAATTCTATTGAAAACTCAGATTTGAAAATTTTCACCATCGCAATACTTTCCCTTACTATATATCACATACTAGTCTAGCGGATCTAGGATTTTATTGTGGGGAGGACTTCAGTCCGAAAGCTTTTTTCCCATAAAAATAACGAGAATTACTTTGTAAAAAAAAAAAGAATGAAACTAACTACCGCATGAAATGGTGTTTAAGTGATTCCTAATGTCCTTTTAAATGTAATTACACGAATAATAATACTTAAAGAGATAATAATTTTTTAATATTTTTTCCATAAAACATGGTTATATTTCACCATTTTGGGGAGGGATTGGTTGGGGTGGTTCAGTCCCAAAGCACCATCCCCCGTAGATCCGCCCGTTTCACATATCGTAAGTGAAAGTAAAAAAAAAAAAAAAAAAACCAAAAGCACCCAAAATTAAATCCTGGTTCCGCAACACGAAGATAATGCATTGGAAATCATATGATATTGTAATATTTCTTTTATTTTAAAATTTTCACATAACCCTACCAGAATCTG